GTAAATAGCTGGTCCAAGTATATCTAGGTATGTTTTCTCTGTTGATTGTGGGGATGCTCAGATGAAAATAGTAACTCTTTGCAAGTCAGCCATATTTTCTGATAGTCCATACCTAGTCAGGGACAGCTGCAGTGTAGACATGGTCAAAACTTTCAAAATATCAATAAAGTTGTGATAATTCCAGTGCTTGAGACAATGAGATTGCCTGGGTTGTCTGATTTGTGTATTTTGAGAACTAAGTAGAAGATGCCTGGTTGGGGCTTCTGAGGTGTGTCCATGCAGATACAGTCCTATATGTCTTCAGGAAATAACTTCACTAGAATACATAGTGCTGTCTGATATATTGTTGTGGGGTCTGAGGAAAGAAGCTGGTAGAATGTCATGTTGGAGTGTTGCTTCTCATATTCTTTGATCCACCTTATTCATGATGACAACTGACCCTCCTTTATCAGCTTGTTTGATTATGGATCCTCAATGTGCCAACATCTTTATAGCTGACCTAGAACATTCGCTTAACTCTCACCCCTAAATCTCCTCTTTTACTTGAGATTCATTGATGACATTTTCATCATCTGGACTTATGGAAATGAATCTCTCATCATATTCTATCATGATTTCAACAATTTCCACCCCATCATGAACCTCAGCCTAGTTCTATCTACAGAACAAGTCCACTTCCTTGATATCAACATAAAACTACACAATATAGTAGTTTTATGATTATAAACTAAACACAGAAGCACCACATTGTCTTTGACTGATTATTAAAAGCTTGCTGCTGTTTCCAATAGGTGCCAACGTCCTTTCCCAAGCATCTGATTCTGCATCTATATTATTTGAAGCTGCTGGAGGAGGAAACCCAGATTCCATCTCTCTCCTACTAGAATATGGAGCTGATGCCAATGTACCAAAGCAGTCTGGTCATCTTCCTATCCATAGAGCTGCTTATAGAGGTCATTTCTTGTGAGTTAGAACATATTGACTCAATTTATAGAACTGGGGGCAGAGGGGAAGTCAGACAGTCTACTTAGTGGTTTGTCATATCTCTGATGAGAAAAACATTTCTTTACAATTTGTCAAGTCCTGAGTTACTAGATAGAAAAGAGGATAAGTCTCCTTCATCTTCAAAAACTATGTAAAGGAAACCTATAGCTTGTTATGCATGTTTCAGCTGCTGACATTCTCTTTTCTACACATCTGTGAAAGGAAGTCTGTTCTCTTCTGCATCTTACTGTTCTAGTCAGATCCTCCTTATGCACTGTTCTGTGACACATACCTATTTGCAGAAGTTGGGTCAATTAATAGTTTTTTATATATTAATTTGGAAGTTTGACATCATTACAAATAACAACATTCTTTATGCTTCAGGTGTTGTTCCCACGTATGGATATTCTGCTGGTATAGAACAGTCAACACTTTCAGAGCTAAGCTAGTGAACATAAAAGAATGTAGACCTGAGTGGATGGGATCAACACCATTCTGTTCCTTTTGGGCTACCCTTACTGCAGCACCTTAAGGAACTTATTCTTCTTTTTAAAGTTACTTGAAATAGCTTGCATATGTCTTTCTCCCTTTCTTCTATCATTTTATTTTTTGCAGTTTTCTTTTAGCAATTTTTCCCCACTGGAATTCTTGTCTTTTTCTGTGCATTTTACCTAATAGCTAAAATGTTGATGGTTGGTGGCAACTCTTACAGAAGTTTACAGTTCTTGCCTCTTTATTGGTGATCTCATTGCCTCCACTGTCAGGAGGTATTGAGGTATGATTGAAGTTTTTTTTAAGAATGTTTGTCTTTATCTTATTTCCTAGGGCTTTACAGATTTTGATTCCAGTCACAGATTTCAGTGCTATAAAGGAGAGTGGAATCAGCCCACTTCACTCAGCAGCGGCAGGAGGACATTCTCAGTGCCTTAAATTTCTAATCATATCTGGTTTTGATGCCAATTTTATGTTGCATCGAAGAATTCAGAAAGGCTACGATGATGAGAGGAAGTCAGCGCTGTATTTTGCTGTCTCTAATGGGGATATTGATTCAGCACATTTGCTCCTGGATGCTGGAGCCCTACCAAATCAAGACCCCGTTAACTGCCTCCAAGTGGCCTTGAGAATGGGTAACTATGAACTCATCGGTCTCCTGCTTCGCTATGGAGCCAATGTGAATTACTTTTGTAGGGTCAATACAACACATTTTCCATCAGCTCTACAGTACGCACTGAAAGATGAAGTCCTGTTAAGGATGTTGCTGAATTATGGATACAATGTTTCCCGCTGCTTTGATTGTCCTCATGGAGACAGTATGCATTCCCAGTACTTATTTGAGGGGTGGACTTCAACTGTTATCAAAGACACAATGGTAAGTACTTCCTGGAGGAGATTAACCCTTCCTTTATATCTTGATTAGTTCCTATAAATTGCCCAATATTTAAGGGAGGGTGGGGTTAACCTCCAGTTGGTTTTCAAAACTGAAAATAATGATCTTTAAAAATACCTCGAGCAAAAACACTCCATAAAATAAATTGCAAGTGTTTGGTTATTCCAAGGTTATCTGCTTGTCATTTTTGTGAAATTGTATTAGATACATAGCTAGTTTGCTTTGTTTTGCTGCTGATTTAGTCTGGTTCACATCATGCAGTTTATAATATAAGGTCTTAAATTCTGTGTTCTCGTGTTCTTGTTTTCTCAGTTCTGTGAAGTGATTACACTATCATGGTTAAGGCACCTGTCTGGGAAGGTAGTGCGAGTGATGCTAGATTATGTAGATCATATTAGAATTTGCTCTAAACTTCAAGATACTCTTCGAGAACAAAAACTGTGGCCAGAAATCAATGCAATTTTGAGTAAGTGTCAAGTAACGTTATCAGTAGACGTTATAAAATGTAAAGATGACTGACACAGTGGGCTATAATTTTGATTGATTGATTATTCAAGTTGTTTTCAACTCCTAGTGATTACACAGATAGATTTTTCTCCATGATAATCTGTCCCTGACCTGGTCTTTCAGGTCTTCCAACATTGCACTCATTGCCGCTGTAACGGAGTCCATCCACCTTGCATAATTTTCAAATTAGCAGCTGTATTATTGGAAAAGCTATTTTTACTACCATATATGAATAGAATAATTCAATAGGTTTTGTTTTGGTAAATATAATTTAAAACAATTTGAATTATTTAAGGAATACTTTATATGTTGTATTTTGACAGTCAATCTCTCCCTGTTACTAAATATGACTAGATTTTTTTGTACTTCACTTGAAGCAAAGATCAAAATAAGTATAAGCTACTTGTACACAGCATAACAAATCTTTACAAAGACAATCTCTTTAATTTTGCTAGTACTTTCTTCTATGACTCAGCATCGAAAGTTCGTGTTTTTATATCTTCTAGATCTATTTTTCCTCGTATCATTTTATTATTGCAATTACTACAGTTAAACAGTTTGAAACTTGGCACATGGAAGAAAGAACATGTTGAGCACAAATAGTATCTTATGGTGGAGGAAGAAGAGATCTCATGCTGTATGTATTATAACATAGCAGTCAAATGTTTCCAGTTTCTGGATGCAGGATTTCAACCTAAGTACTTGTTGTAGGAGTTGATTACCTCCTTCTTATTCCAAGGATCTCCCTTAATTGTTCAGTGTTGTACCAATGTCAAAACTCAACTACTCTGGGCAACTCACAACAATCAATCAAAGAAATTATAATAAAGTCAATGAAAGATAAAGATAAAAGATGAAAAGCACAATGAAACGAGGGGTCTCATTCCCCCTTGCCAAAGGTCTGCATGAAGAGCCAGATCTTCATGGCTCTTTTAAACAACAGCAGAGTGGGGGTCAGAGTCCAGGTCAGAGCAAATCTGAGCACCCTTATTCATCAGATAGCCTGAATAATCCTCACAATGACCCAATAGATGCTTTGAGGGGCCCTCCCTACCCAATAGGGACTGGGTTAATAATCTGAACAGCAAGATAATGTGATCACTCCCTCCCCATGTTTCCTTCCAACTTTATCTCTTCACCCAGCTCTTCCTTATGAGTTAGAATCAGATGTAGGAGATCTTTTACTTTTCGACCTTCTGAAAGCTACTATTATTACTGTTTCCCCTCCCTGAAAGTTTTGTAATGTGGTCTAGGAGATATTATCCAAATCTTCAGCCTGGCTTGGTGGTTTATAGCACATTCCCAGAATAACTTTGTTGTTTCTCCCTTCCTGTATTCTTTTGGAAGTGCTTCCACTGGATTCTCATGCTTCAATTGATCTCTGTACTGCCTTCACATATAATGCCATTCTTCTTCCCCTTTCATCTGACCTATTCTTTTTGAAAACGTTATCCTCTTCAATCCATGTATTTCAGACATAAATTTCATCCCAGTAGGTATCAGTAATGCTTACTAAATCATATCTGCCTGCCGCATTAAGGCTTCTAGTTCTTCCTCACCTTCTGGGCATTTGTATGGATACTACAGTGCTTGCCTTATTCTTTCCTGTACTTACTGTATGCCCTCATGATTGGGTGCCTCCATGTCCTGTATACATCTACGCAGTCCCAGTTTCAGTCCCTCGCATCACTGTTTTCTAGAGTCTTTTCTTTCTCCTCCACAGGATTTGATTTAAAGACGTCCAGATAGGTCTGCAAGATGCCTTCCTAATACATGCTTGTGTTCTTGTGAGATGCTGCCCAACTCTTACCAGGAGTCCCTCATCTCAGAAATCTCTCCCATGATCAAAGAATGCATTGTCAAAGCTCCTATTCACTGCTGCCTACAACTGGGGTTTCATGCAATTGATTTTTTTGTTAGAAATCCTGAAATTGTCAATATAGATTTGTATTTTTATATAGTTTATCGCAATGGAGGATTCACTAAGTGTATGGATTAAGGAAGTTCACCTTGATGAAAATACATAGGATCAGTTGCCTAGGCAAAAGGGGCTGAAGCATTTTTTTAAGTCCACAAGACAACATTCAGAAGCCGCTCAGTCAGGTGCCTCCTTAATTCACTTAAAGAGGAGGAGGAGGAGGTGAAGGCGGAGGAACAGGTACAGAGCAATCAGACTTGCAAGATTGTTATTATAGCCAATCTCAATAAAAGTAGTTTTAATCTACTTGTGGAGTTGATTTCCTGGTTTGGTCTATCTAGTGGGGCTGAAACCAACATATTCCAACCTGAAAGCCATTTAGTACCATCAGTATTTTTAATCTAACTTTTGCATCAGTTGATAAGCTCCTATGGCACTCAAGAGTTACAGCCCCTCAACCCTCGAATATTGTCCAACCTGCCTTAAAAGAACAGAATCTTATTCTGATGGGTAACAAAACATTTTACATTTTGTATTATACAGTATAATACAGAAATACGTATTTCAAAAATAATCAAGATTTTTCAGTTACTTTGCAAGTTCTTGATATCCTAAAGGTTGAGGTTACCTCTTATTAAACTTTATGCTAAATTTTTTTTCCCTCTCTCTCTCTTTTGGAAATAAGACTTTAGGTTGCAAAGGCAGAATTGTATAAAGCCTTGCTCAGATGCCATTGTGGCTGGTCTGTGATTTTACACTGGACCCACACATTCCCCCTTCCCCAAGACTACACATTTCAAGATGAAAATTCAGAGTGCATAATTCGTATTATATAGACGTATTATTTTATTTTCAGCAAATACTCGTCCTTTGCAACATCTTTGCCGTCTGAGAATCCGAAAATGCTTAGGACGTTTACGTCTGCGCTGTCCTGTCTTCTTGACATTTCTGCCATTACCAAACCGTTTGAAAGAATATATACTCTATAAGGAGTATGATCTCTATGGACAAGGAAATCTGAAAGGAATATACTAAGTCAAATGCATAAAAGTGCAGTTGGAGGATATCCTATATATAAATGAACAGTATAAAGATATTAAAGCATGCTTAAAAAATAGAATTCTAGCTACTACTGAAGAACTGTTTGGTTTATACTACAGTACATAAAAAGTAATAATTTGATGAACAGTTAATGCAGTGAAACTTGATAAACTTCAATGCAACAGTTTTGCAGATCAAATGTGTGATTTATGTCATTTGCATAGATCTTATGTGAACTAACCATCTGTATTAATTTGAAATGTCTAACATCACACAAATGTAACTTGTGTAATTTGTGTAACAACACTCAGATGATGTAATTTGGGAGTGATGTCATTGCTCCAAACCCTGTGATGCCCTTTGCTCCAATTCAATGGACACCTCCCCAGTTGGTCTGGGAAAAAGGGGTCTCTGTAATACAGATCTTACTAGTGGGGGTACTTCTCCTTGCAAACCTCCACACGCTCACAAAATCCACTTCAGCTGTAAATATTGAAAGCAGATTTAAAAAACAAAAAAACATCACAATGCATTGGCAAGAATCCTTTGCTTATGGATGCCCACATTGTACTGAAATAACAGTGCTGTTTTAGCACATAGCACATTTTTCAAGAAGTACAAAGAGGGCATAACTACACTGCATACTCTATTCTTGAATTTTTCTTTACAAATACTGTTGAACATTCCCTTTAGAGGGAAAAGAGTTTGCATGTTTTAACTAGCACAGAAAAAATTGGCATGTCATACTCTTGTGGAATGTCTCTTGCTTCTGCACTTGTAGTTTTAAGCAAGAGTGTTTGTGTATCTCTTTAAAAATTACATTTAACTTTTTAAATTTGGCTTTCCAAGTGAAGTTGGGTCTTGGATTCCATGTGTTATATGTGCAGAGTTTTCTTGATAGCCTAAGGTTTCTGCTGCCCACATCCTTAAGGTGACAATTTAAAGTCCTATAATGTGCCTTTTTTATTGCAACAAATATATTACAACCTCAAGAACAAAATACCAATCTGTTTTACAACTTTCCCCAAAAGCTTTTATTTAAAAAGCTGTGTGGTAAATGGAATATGTATTTCCAAAATAATTGAAGTCTTGCCATGTACCTTTATAACTGCATAGCTGTGGTGAAAATTGTATATCCTTCTCTTGTGTTTTGCATACACTATCCTTTGTATATATTTTTAGAGTGGAAGTTCTTTGAGATAGAAAACTAGCACAAAGAAAAATCTTTTGAAATATTCATCAAATATTATTCTTATATCAGCAATATGGCTTCACCTTCTCTAAGAAACTGCACCCACCGATTAAACAGTCAAAATATATGGATTAACTTTCACATCACATGAATTTTTCTTTTGAATTCTAGTCAAATAAAGATAGGACACCAGCTGTTAATTTTGCTTTATTAAGTACAATAAATGATTCTCTATTATATGGATATTCTTCCATTACTGACAGATTTAAAATGCATTTCACAAAGGCATTTTGAAAGTTTTCAATATATGATGTGCTTTGGAGAAGAAAAGCTGATAAAATATTTACATAAGTATTGTAGAAAAGCATCCTCTAAAATTAACTGGATTTCGCTGAAGTCTTTCCCAAACTGTTTTATTAGTGTCTAGATTTTACTTTGCAATTGACAATATCAAGCAGACAATCACTGAATATTAATACAAATATTAAGAGAAATTAGAGTTTTAATTAGACTTTCAATTTAAAAAATCACAGTCACTGTAACAAGACTAAACCATTACTTCCTGATCAATTCACTGTATTATAAAAGCCACCGAAATTTATTGTACAAACTTCTTGGCTTGTTTACAAATCTCATCATGGAACATTATTTACTCAAAGTTGCATGATGGATTATTAGTTCTACATCATGTCATGATCTCTGATAGCCTGATATAATGTCCATGCATCAATTAGAAAAACATTTCCCTGCACCCAACTCAATTTCCCCATGAGTGTGAAGGACCTCATGATGCAGGAAGGCTACAGGGGAGACAAAAGTCTTGTTTCATTTACAGATGAAAACAAAACAAAGATAAACAACAGTAATTTTGTTGAGATATCACAACAACAATCCTGATTTTTTAAATCAAACCTATATAATGAATTGAATGCCTCTGGCTTACAATACATGCAAAATACATGTCTACAGAGATGAACATCTTATCCAATATAGCAATCTTAATTCCAATTTTGTCATCAGAAATGTGATTCAGTACAGAAGGCAACTTAGAAAGCACACTTGTCAAGCAACAGTACACAACTGCAGACTTCATTTGTGCCTTGACTGCATAACCATATACTTGTTTATGCAAAAGCAAATCCCACTCAGTTCAATGGGGCTTACCTTCAGAAGAATGAGAACAGAATTGCCAACTCCAAGGCCTAATTTAAGAAGAAAAAAATGTTGTTTCTTTAACATACCAGAATCCTCCCACATTAGCATAATTTCTGTGTAGGAAAACAAAAACATATTTCTTGCCATACAATGTAAAGTGTGGCATGAGTGATTTTCACACCAGCAATAAACCAATCAAGCAGCCAAATCAAACTTTTTTTCTACTTAGAGAACATTTCCACTAGAAAATCTAATATGGGAAATATGGCTATTGAATACAATCCATACAAGTTGGATTTTTTAAGTAACTGTAGATGGGTACATTCTGTCACCAGAGTTAAGATATACTGAGCACTTGCCTGTGAACAGTTTTATAATAAAGGTCATTTGGTATTATTCACATTATGATACATCTTTACATAGAAATATATATATATATATACACACACACACACACACAGAGAACAGGCCAAAACTGATTAGTCTGAAGCATAACAAGCTATCAATTGAAGTGAACTGATTTACTTTAACTTTAGATTTATGATTTCATAGTATTATGTGGCTTAACACAGCTGTAAACTGTAGTGTAACAATTACAACAGATATTGCCAAATTGAGTGAGGTGGCCCAAAATATAATAAACTGAATATACGATTTCTGTTTCTGCAGTTTTATATTCAAGTTGAAAGATAAGGAAAGCTTTCAAAAAATGGAAGGAAACTGCTCAATGGGCAATTGTGGCTCCTCTTTTATTTCTTGGATCTCCATGTGTCTTCAACTTCCTTGCAATTAGGAACAAGAACAAATCCCCCAATTGTTCTCAAAAGATTTACCAGCACACACTAATTGGCCTTTAACAGTCTTCCCTCCACAAGTCGCTGATCTGCCTCCAATTTCTGTACGATTTCTGCTTGCATATTTCAATATAAAAGAGGACAAACCTATACATCTTGTTTTGTATGTACAGTACACTTGTACTGGAATGAAAAATCATTGCATGCTTTGTATATTACATTCGACATGAATCAGTAAACTGAAGCAATCAGAATTACAAGTACCTGTCTAATTTTTCTCAGATTCAGCAAATATGTGCAATTTGTACGTATTTCTATTACATGTGGATTTGTTTAAGTTCTGCAAAATGAATTTAGGTTAAATATGACAACAGATGTTGAAAAAAAATTATCTGACAATTTTTCCATGCAAATAATTCTATCACCAACATAATCTCAAACTTTTGCTAATGAGAAGATACATATAAAATTTGATTTCAATAATCATGGCAGTTCTGTTAGAAATGTATGCATATATCATTTAGACATTTAAAAATCAATTTGTATAATGTTACAAATATACACAGTGCACTGGCACTCCAAACTACTTTCCAGTGTTTGGGTGAATGTCTTTTGCCACCCTCCACAAAAGTGCTCCCTGTATACAGAGAAGCCAAGATCACTAATGGCTGGTACAATTTCAAGTAAAAATGATATTCTCATATTTCATCTAAAAATAGTATCGCAGTGTCACTGGTTTCCTTGAACTCGTACACTCCTGCCCCAGCACTTTACTATCACTTTACTATCAAAAACATTAACTAAAAATTATCAGGATGCTGCCATTACTGACCCCAGTCATTTTTAGGAATCAAAACTGGCTTTTTATTCAGAGACTTAGGGCACTTTGAAGACTAATATGACTCCATTTTTATCAGATTGAATGTTAGTATTTAAAAGTAGAACAAGACTATTTTACTACAGCAGACTAAAACAATTAACATCTCTGAAAACTGAGAAAAGAAGTTGAATATAAAGATTTTCTACCTATTTCTTAAGCTTAACAGTTACACAAATTTCTTTCTCATTTAATCACCAGAAGAGCTAGGTAAGTGAAATAGAATAAGCTCTGTAATATCCAAACCTGCTATAGCCATGAGCATTTTACCACGATTCTTTATGTTATAAGGAAAAAAAAAATCCGTATTTACACTGAGCAATTTAAGAAAGATCAACCTTAATGAGTGAGAATACGGAGTTCTACCTAATAAATCAAACCCTCCACCTTTGTTTCTTATGGGATTTGCAATTTATCATCTCAAACAAGAGGTTCAAAGGCTTGCACTGAAGTTGTTTCACGCATCAGATTCTCGCTTCTTCTTTCCATCTTCACCCAAATCACTGTCTTCTGAGGGGCTATTGCTAAGAACTACAAACTGTCCTTCACCGACACTCTGGTTGGATCGACTTGAAGCAGCAATTAATCGACTTTGCTCTTCTAAATCCTGAAAAAAAAAATTACTGATTTATGTATAAGCCACCTGTATATTATTTTAAATAGTAAATAATAAAAATATTATCATTACTGACAACCATTCACTATGGCCAGTAAGCCACACATTATAGGTAGTCCTTGTTTAGCAACCACTGGGACCAGCAACTCCATCATGAAGCAGGAAATCATGTGACCATGACTGTGCTTTCCTTTCTTCCACTCCCCAGCCCCTTGGAATGCTCACCCCGGCATTGGAATAATTAGCAAGAGTTAATGTTTGTATTTACATTCACTGGAGAGGAAGGGATTACAAGAGAGTAAGCAGGCACACCATGGGGAATACACATTGAAAGCAATGCACTGGTTCTGTCAGCTGGAAGAGCGCTTTGCAAACAGCCTGGTGTATTCCCCATGGTGAGCTTGCTTACTCTCTTGTAATCCCTTCTTCTCCAATCTCTCTGCTCTGCGAGGGGAGGAAAAACGGGTCAGACACAGGAGAGATTACTTACAGAAATCACTTTTTTTCCTCCCCCCAGCAGAGCGGAGAGATTGAAGAGGAAGGGATTACAAGAGAGTAAGCAGGCACATAATGGGGAATACATCGGGCTGTTTGTGTAGTGTGCTAGTGGCTGCCAGCGCCAGTGCATTGCTTTCAATGTGTATTCCCCACTGTGTGCCTACTTTACTCTCTTGTAATCCCTTCCTCTCCAATCTCTCTGCTCTACAAGGAGGGAAAAAAGAAAAACAACAGGTCAGGCACAAGATGTGTACTGACCGTAATGGTGATCATGCGACTGAGGGATAGCACTGTCGTAACTTTGAATGGTCACTGAACAAGGAAGTTGGTAAGCAAGGACTACCTGCATTAAAAATGAATTACTGAGATCTTGGATGACCAAATAGCACTCATTCATCAACCTGGATGGACACAAAGATCTATATAGAGATATACAGGTAGTCCTTGACTTACAACCACAACTGGGACCAGAACTTATGCCACTAAGAGATGTGATTGTTAAGGGAGTTGCGCCTGATTTTACATCCTTTTTTGCCCTGGCTATTAATTGAATCACTGCAATCGTTAATCGAATCACCACAGTCATTAAGCAAATCTGGCTTCTCTCATTGACTTTGCTTGTTGGAAGCCCCCTGGGAAGTTCACAAATGGCGATTATGCAACCCTGGGATGCTGCAACTATCATAAATACATGCCGGTTGCCAAGAGCTCGAATTTTGAACATGTGACTGCAGGGACACTGTGATGGTTGTAAGTATGAGGAAGAGCCATAAGTCACTTTTTTCAGCGCTGTCGTAACTTTGAATGGTTAAGCAAATGGTCGTAAGTTGAGGACTACCTGTACATCAGGTCATTCAGGGTAGCGATGTTCAAGAATAAATCTTGTGAAGAATATGATTCAGGCCAAGTGGTACTTCTGGTATAGCATCCTGTTTCCAACTACAGTGAGCCAAGTGTCTCCTGGCCACCCAAAGTAGGTCATTGCTTGTCAGGTTCTAGCAACTAGTAGCGTCATACTACCTCCAAATGTTATCATGTGAACATGCCTGCTTTAATCTAAAACCAATTTCAGTATTGTGAGGAAGAGTAATTTCTCATGTTAATGAAACTTATATAAAAGTGTTGTTTTGAAGGCCCAAGTCCATGCAAATACCAAGACTGAAGCAGTATCGTGATTAAATTCATACACTTCTTTAGAACAGCAAAATAGCTGAAAAACTCCAGTTAAGCTCTGACCAAATGCATACCTTTTCAATTTGTTTCTGTTTATTGAGCTCTTTTTGCTGTTTTTCCTTTTCTCTTTCTATTTCTTTCTGCTTTTCTGATGATCTACGATCCTGAAATTTTTTTAAAAGAACATGCCAAATAACTAAAAGTGGAACAACATTATTTTCACTGAATGGATTATTACTTTGTTTTGCCTGAGCCATATAAAATTAATTCAGAAACTACATAGATATCCAAGTATATTTAACAAAATATTCTCTTACTGCTTTTCAAAACAAAGATTTAAAAAATCTTGGCTTTCACATCATTAACACAATAGAAAAACCAACTACATATTGATTAAAGATTAAAAGTTCAGGATGCTTACATAATTGTTTTTCCAAATGGTCATCTGTGCATTCACATAATACATCCTCCACCTTATGATTCTGCTTCTCAATTATATCTGATTTGGACTCACCTGGATCTGCTCAAGAAATGGAGAAATGCAGAGGCAACTTCTTAAGCAGGTGTAACAGGATAGAAAAAAGACTCTTCTTCTCATCAAATCCAGCTACAGAATGTTCTGAAGGATGCTTCATATGGGCCCAGAACTCACTTGTAGGAATGCACAATGACCATTTCAAGAACCAGAATTACAGCTAAGCAACCTGACCTTCCTTTTTAATACTGCACTTTCTTTATACATATTTCACATGTTTTGCAGAAAAGTATTTTCTAAGTTATTAGTGTTTCACTAAAGCCAACGAACATCAACGAGAAAGTGGAAAACAAATGAAAAAACACACATTTGGCTCAAGACAGACTTGTGCAGTGTACAAAAAAGGAGCAATACTTCCTGATTTGGACAACTGAACAACATTCTTTAAAGGATTAAGAATATAAGATGTGTATATATTACACTCTTAAGCTCAAGACAGATAAATATTTAAGAGCAAAAAAGACCTCTCCTTTTGATCTTGTTTTAGAATCAAGGGCGATTTGCCTATTGTCTGTTTTTTGCCTTCCTTGCAGAAAGCTTTGCCAAATTATTTCCTTATAGACATCTCCTATTCTGTACATCTGGACTGGAACTGCTTGTGACTTGCAAGACACTGGTTGATAGTTTACTTGTGAGAATAATTATTGGGTCAAAGAGTGTTGCAGTGGAGTTTTTAGTTTTTTCATTTCACAGATTGTCAACAGAGAGAACAGCAGCTTTTTCAAGCACTTAGTATCATCACACCTTTTTAAGAGATGGTGAGGCACCAAAAATAACAATTAAATAGTCACTGTAAAAACCAAAACATTTTTTTTTTCTTATTTCAAACTCAGGTAAGATTTGAGGTTGGAACACTGAAATTTCACCAGTTTGGGCAGATGTCAGGAAATATCACAACTGATACTGAACCAGCAGGGCCCCATGTCATTGATTTGATATATATAAACTGTCTTTACATTTTACTCCAAATTAAAATCTTACCAATTCAGCATGAAATGCAATCTGTTTTGCAAGTCCCACGGAATCACAAATCTGAATGAGGAAAGAAATGGGTAACATAATCACTAAAAAAATGTGTTTGTCTTCAAGGACAGTAAATCCTTGATTTAACAGACTCTTTGGGGGAAGCATGTCTGTTAAAGCCAAATGTCTATGAAACAGTAAATGGATTTTTTGGGGCTCAGCATTGCCATCAAAGGTGATTCTGACAATCGTAGGTGCAATGAATTCACACAATGAAGACAAGCTACAGCTGAGAGGCCACCCAGAGGCTGAGGATCAGAGCCTGGGAGCACTGGAGCCAGAAAAATCAGCCAGCTGGAGGGGCTGGGCTGATCCAGGAGCCAGAGGAACTTCCAGAGGCAACAAAGACAGTGGCAGAGGTGAACTGCGGACCAGGGAGATCTTGTGTGTGGAATCTGAAGTCTGCTAAACTAAAGGGTTGATTTTTTTTTTTGTTTAATCCGCACTCAACTGTGACTGATTCTGCGGCAACTGCCTGGACGAGTCCCTGCAATTTTCAAGGCAAGGTGTTTCAGGAGTGGTTTGCCATTGCCTCCTTCCTAGAGCGGAGCCCAGCTGGCAAATGCAGGAGGCGGGGTTTCTGTTGCTTTGCGCTTTTTTCAGGCATACATGGCTTCCGTGTTACCGGCAACTGGTCCCATCTCCCGTGCAAGGTGCCGCCAGCATTTTCCTCCCACCAGGGTAACAGTACCCATTTGTCTACTCGCGGATGCTTTCAAGCTGCTGGGTTAGCAGAAGCTAGGGATTAGACAGGAGCTCACTCTGCCGCATGGAGCTGGGCTCGAACCGCTGAAGTGTTGACCATTTCTGGTCGGCAACTTTCAGCGTCATTAAACCACTGTGCCACCACGTCCCTAAGGGTTGATTGTACATAATTACAAAAGATGAACAAATTGTTCACAAGAGGTTTTCAGAGCATGAAATAACATGTATAAAGCACTATCAAATTATTATAGTGTCTGTGCATTTTTCTTAGACTGCCTAGGTTTTTTCAATAGAAGAGAATCTATGTAGCTCAGGGTTGAACTGGGGAGTTCTTGATGCTCTCTGGGCCTGGTTGTTTGCTTGCAGACATTTCATTACCCAACTAGATTACTGACACTGATGATGTTACCAAGTTGGGCAATGAAATGTCTGAAAGCAGGTTCTCCGGAAGCTGCTCCCTGCTGACTCCACATGCATATTTATACAAAGCCATTTGCTTCATTGGGGCGAAAAAGCCCCTTCAAAGGTTTGCATACCCCTCGTTTTTACAGCTTTGGGATAGTTTAAAATAGAATGTTAATTGAAGCATGATGCATATACCTTTTCCCCTTCATTATTTGATTCAAATATGTAGCACACTGAAGTTGGTCTACTATCTGCTCTTCCTGCTGAAGTATGAAGAACAAATCCAAAAAGACGCTTGTTCTCCTGGTGTGTGGCATACAGAACTATATTTGGCAAAGGAAACTGTCCAGAGAGGAAAAGAAGGCAGTTCTAAGGATCACTGAATAACAGAGAGCAGTAAATGAAGTTACGGAAAAAAGAAATTACTTTTGGATTATTAAAGTAAAAGCCAAAATCATTCATATTTATATTTCAGCATTAAGGGCATTTTAACTCACCCTACTACCCCTAGTAAACGCATGGCTTCCCAGCACAGACTTTTTAGTCACTATGCTACATCAGCTCTTATGCTAGTGCATTCTTAAAGCTTTCAAATTCTATACTAGCAGGAAATCCTTACATATTTTTCTAATCTACAAGTACAAGCTTAGGGCTAGACCATCCACTTTTATAATGTGAAGTTTCAGGATAACTGAAATACTGTCTTTGGGGCTGGATAACCTATAACATTCTGTCAAGAACAATAAATAGAAAATAAACTTGGATGAAATTTAACAGTAGCTGGGTTTCTGATATTTAAGTACTTTGATTTTAACAACTTACCCTGAGTCTTGTAACTTGTGTTTGTGGATCAATTAACCTAGAAAGGATAATTTCAGAAATGTAGAGTTATTAAAAAGATAAAAATGTATTAAAAGTGTTTGACAAACATGTTCACTTTAGAAAAAGAATACTTACTTTAAACAATCACATGTAACTAACAAATGTGATTCTGTCATTCTGAAAATGTTATGTATAGCTCGAGCTGCTAGTATTTGACGCATTGTTTCATAAACAACATCAGGACTTTCATCTGACTTCACTTCCATAGATCCAAGGAACCTTATAATAAATAGCTGGTGAAGGATAGAATCTAGAGCAAGGACATAATAAATAAATGGTTTGAGTAACCTTTTAAGTAAAGCCTTGGCTTTACTAAATATTAGCTATGTATAGATCTTCTATGCCAATCTCCAGTAAAATATGTTATTCATTTATTTACATTTATTACAGCCACCTACTCCAACTGCCTCTGGGCAGCTTACAAAATATAATACTAAATTAGAACAATTAAAAACCCAGGCAAAACAAAACAAGACAGCCTGGACTAAAAACAACCATTAAAACAGAACACCACAGCCGCCCCACACAACACATTAACCCCAGGCCTGAGCACAAAGCCAGGTTTTAAGGGTTTTTTTAACCTTAGGAGAGAGGGCACCATCTGTATCTCTGGGATGATGCTGTTCCAGAGGTTGGGGCCATGACAAAGGAGGCATGCTTCCTAGATCTTTAATAATTCATTTCTAAAAAAATGTAACACATATAAGTTCTGATAGTTATGTCCAACATTTAGTTACCCTTAGTTCTGACTGAGAAGAATTCTTTCATTCAATTAATATTAAAGTTAACTAGATTGAAAGCACTGTTGTGAGATGGTGGCTTGACGAAAGGTAGAAGGGGAGAGATAATGAATTATTTTACAATATAATTTAAGGGACTGTTACATTAAACAAGAGTAACGAACAAGACTTGATAGCTCTTCTTCCACTTCTTAAGCTTACTCTATAGTGTAAGTTATGTTTTGGTCCTACTGCTATTTTACTAGATTACTGCAAAGTTCTTTTGCTGAAGTATTTTCCTGCACTATATACAGAAACATTTCCCTTTGTACCTTCTTTGCTCTCTTAATTTTGCTCAGGCTCACAGCCAAATTATCAAAATATTATTTTTATCAATCTGTTCTCTTCAACTGTTACCATACAATACTACTCAATATATTTTATATTTCTTTAAAGCTCTGCTCTCTACCTTCTGTTTCTGATTTGGTTCCGCCAGATTCTCCAAAAGGATTTGTACGTCTGTCAAAAAAAAAAGGTATCAAATCAGTGACTAAAGTTGCATGACATATTAAAAGCAGCAATAAGATACTGAATGGTAGTCCAGGAAGTGCACATACACAGACACATACAAAACAGTAAATAATTTTCATCACACAGAATTATTTGAGATACCTCATATAAAGAACTATATTTTAGCAGGAAACAACTGAAAACACTGTAAAACTACCCATGACAAAACAATATCCACTGTAATATTATCTGGAAAGTTATTTAATTTTATCTGCTTTTGAAAAAATACAATCTTATAATACAAACTACAAGCTTACTGAAATTCCATTAAAAAAAATCTCTTTAACAGAAACTGCATGCTCCCCTGGTGTTAATATGTTAAATTTAATACGTGAAGATTATTTAAAGTTACCATTTCAAATACAGACTTCTGAAAGCACTGATGGGATTGTAATCATAATCAAGAGAAACATGGCTATGCATAGCTCTCAGCAGAGACATTATTACTCTTTACATTATACTTGTGAAAATTTTCTAGGCTTCCAGTATGTAGGCAAAGAAAAGGTTTATCCAAACATTTTTCAAATGGAGAACTTAAGATGATCCTTAAAAAACAAAAGATCATAACAGTAGTACCATTTTTAAAAAATATATCCAGTCTGATGTTTTCATAATGTAAATCTTTCACAGAATCACGGTGTTGCACTAGAAGCTCTCTAAGGTCCTTTACAATTCCCTGAGCTATAACGCAGGATACAACAATACCCTTGCAGTGTGTCCATCTAATCTTAAATACCTCCAGCAAAAAAGTTCACCATCTCCCAAGGCAGCCTGTTCCATTTTCAAACACTCTTTGGGATCCATGTGGTCAGAATTATTACAGCTGGCAAATCTCTTGATTGCAGCCTGGCACACTTGCTGCTTAGTTCAGCTCACAAGAAATCTGGTGAGTACAGCAAGGCTCAGACTTTTATAGACTTCAGACTGAAACAATCTGCATCTTTTTCAGAGTAGCACTTGGCAAATCTCCTCACAAGTCTTGATTATGGCTGCTGCATCTTTTTACTAGCATTCACAAGAGATCCTGAAAACTCTATTGCCTTCTTCAGGCATTTTACATGCACATAATATCTACCTGAGTAAGGCAATCTAGCGCCCTCACCTAATCATCCTTGTTGCCTTCAACACAGAAAGGATGACTGTACAGAAGAGTTCCCACTATCCACAGATGCTCTTCATGTGTTTTAGAAACTGACTTTACAGAGGGAAGGTTAGGTTGCTCACTCTGATGACCTGCATTCACATATTGATAATTTAAGGTACAGCAGCCTGGTATATGGAAAGAAAATTGATTGGGATCCAAAGGAGGAGAAAGTGGAGTTTGGACCGTTGGTGTTGATGGGAGAACATGAAGCAATGAATGTTGAAGAAAGAACTTGGTTAGAAGTTGGCAAGAGAGTATGGATACCACACAAGAAGAAAGTGAAGATGGAGGAGAGGAACATGGATGGGGAAGTGAAGAAGTTCAAGGAATGCAGAAGAAGAATGTGATGGCTGAGATGAAGGAGATAGAGATGATACAATAATGGAATAGAAGACTGTGAAGAGACTCTCAAACAACTGGACAGACAACAAATGGTTGGGCTTTGGAAGACAAGGAGACATGGGAGCTTGAGTGATTTGATAGACTAGTTTAACAGAGTGAGTGACTGGCAACAACCTCATCACCACCATAATTGAGACAGGGTGTGGTATTGCCATGAGAAGAAACAAATTGCCTATTATAATATAAAGTGCTATCTGATTTGGGTCTTCAGGACCATCAGACCCAGATGGATTTTGCCCACCCAGAAGTAGTTAAGGGAAGAAGGCTTGGAAACAAGCCTTCTGGGTAAAAGCCTCCTCATTCTGGAATAGCTTGCTCTCCAAGATTAAGATGGCCCCTTCGTGTTGACATTCCAGAAGGCAGTGTAAATTGTACTTTTCCAACAAGCCTTTAGGACAGAGGGTATTATGCGATCAGAGATAGCCTGACTGACTGCATGAAGTTTTGTACTTTCGTGCTTTGATTTATACTTTTGGGGGGGTTTTTTTAGGTCTCTGAAATGTAAAACTCCTAGTATCTATGGAGCAGCCAGCATAGAAATCCATGCATGAATAAATAAATATACTTGAAATGCCTGAAGACGACTTTTGTTATGGACATTTCTCCCCAAAACTAAATTCAATTTGAATTTTCTATGAACATTTGTTTTGAATTGGATCTCTCTTTACAAAAAAAATTTCATTAGGTGTAACTGGGGTTAATTAATTTCTGTTGCTGAAAGAAAAATCAGTCATATCTATAAGCAGCTAGGCCTCATTCAGCAATCACATGTTCTAAGAGTTTATAAAATACAAAAGGAGTGTATAAGCAGCAAAAATGATTCCTCTTGTTATTCCTGTTCTGACTCTTAGTTTTAACATACTTGCAAGACTGTAAAGCACAGAATTATGAGTGAGATGTTTCTTGCTTTGGCTTTGAAAGTTTCCATCCAAATTAATTTTTCACTATACTATATTAAGACTTGCCTTAAAATTACAAGTAGGTATTCACTGGCCCTAGTATATAGGGCCCCCCGACTACTTCACTGCTTGCTTGCTCACTCGTGCTTGCTTGCTCTCTCTCTCTCTATATATATATGCATGACAAAAAAATAAAAATATTGTTTAACAAGTACTGTATATTCAATCACTGAATGATAATTGTAAAATATATGGAAGCTCTAGTGAGATGGGGAAGAAGCATAAAAAGATCTCTGGTCAATGGACAATTTATCTTCCTAAAAGATATTACTTTAGAAGCCTAGATAATTTTCACTCACCTTTTTTAGCTTAGGAAGAAAGCCATCAGAATGCCTTCACCACCTGGGTTGCCACATTTCTCTTGAGTTTCCAAGAGGAAATACCCAAGTTGCTGGGGCAGGCAAGCAAGCAATAGGAAAGGAAAATATACTTTTTTAAAAACAAAAAAACTGAAGAATGCTCAACAGGGTGAAAGAAGTCTGCTACAAGAAATAAAACACAGAATCTTAAGCATCGTAAGATTTTCCCAATTGTGCAAGGTTTTGATTTTTTTGTTTTGATTTGTTTAATGATCAGCCCATGCAGGTCTAAAAATCCTAGTCCTTCAAAGCATTAATCTAATAAAACACAGATGTCCTGACTCTACCCTCTTCCCTTCCGTGCATGAATTGCCCCCACCAGTTTTAACATTAGATAATACTAATCAGCTTTCACTCTTAATCAGACATCTGAATAAATCTCAAGTCTTTGGCTGAAATCTCTAGTTAAAAGCAAACTCTGCTTAGGCACAATCATAGTTAAAGCTGGTAAAGGGAATAAGAACAAGTTAATTTGTGCAGGGAGGGGGTCCCAAATGGAAGTGAGCACACTATCCATAGTCAAGGTTAAAAGATGATGAGTATTATTCTATGCAGGTTTTAAGTATCAACAGAAGGTGTTAAATACTGAGTCAGCTTCATGTGCTTGTATTTCATTTTTGTAATTCTCACCTGCCTGACTGGCCTGGGGTTTTTACTTGACCAGGCTGGTCTTCACTTACTGGAGAAATGATATCAAATTGTATAGGCGTGTCAGGTGCAACGAGCGAGTCCAAGGAAAGTGCAGACAGTGATGCTGAATCAGATCCCAAAGACCCAGCACTACTAGTACGATTTGTGGGAGGCCGAGGCTGTCTGAAAAAGCAAGAAAAGAAGGAAACATCTCAACCTTTATCATCTGTTGCATTTCAGCAGGGAAGAACTGATCACACATTTTCTTACAAATAATGAAAGATAAACTTTTATCCAGACTAAATAAAGTTATCCAGACTAAATAATTTGGAGACAAATGCCTTGTTGAGAGCAAACATTTCAGAATTTATCATGAAAGACATATAAAGGAGAAGTGTAAACTTTATGTTAACAAACTGAAACACTTGAGGTAATCAAAATAATCACCTAAAACCAGCAGGAATATTTAACAGCTGCAGCAACAAAGTTTCTCAAATAGACATCCTGTTTAATATATATTTACAATGAAATATCCATATGTCAATTAGTTTATAATTTCTGATGACTGTGGCTTGAGAAAAAAATTCCACAGGGCGAATAAGCTAGTGATTACTGTCACCATAAATTCAGAAACTTTAATGAGACAATAAGTAGGAAGAGCAAACCAGAGCCTACTTAAGGATTAGTGATTCCTCTCAGGTTATTAAAACAAAATAGTATGCAAGACTGAGGCCCGATAAATTAAAAATAGAAACCGAATGAAGTGTAGCTGAAACTAGAGATTACAAGAGCTGGGTCAAAAGTAAGGACATGGTTACTGTTCTTCCCAATAGCTTCCACTAACAAACAAATGATGCGAAGTCAGTATTTTTCCCCATACACAATTATCAGATAAAATAGAGTGATGGCAGCAATTTTAGAGCAAAGTGATATCATATCACAGATTTTATATTTCAAATGCTATGGGGAGAAAAGAGGAGACCAAGTAATAGAATTGAACATTTTAGTAGCAACCATACAAATTTTGGGACTTTTAAATTAACAGCAGCACTCTGCACACTCCAAAAATAATTTGAAAGAAGTTCTGCAGCTCAACTTTATTCAGGCTTTCACACAAACTTGAAAAGAGGTGTCGTTATTTTAAGAGTCACATTAACTCTAATGAGTGTATTCTTTAAAGCAGCAACACTTTCTATTCAAGCTTAATGGGTGTGAGGAAAAAGGTTGTGCTGCTTTAATGAATGGCAAAGAAATATTATGCTTACATAATGTCCAAAACACTTCTTCCAAACAATTTTCAAAGCATGAACAGCTATAATCTATATTACAGATAAAGATATCAAATACAGGTAGTTCTTAACCATTCGTTTAGCGACTGTTCGAAGTTACGACGGTGCTGAAAAAAGTGACTTATGACCGGTCTTTGCACTTACAACCACTGCAGCATTCCCATGATCACATAACCAAAATTCAGGCGCTTGGCAACCAACATATATTTACAACAGTTACAGCATCCTGGGGTCATGTGACTGCCATTTGTGACCTTCCCAGCCGACTTCCAACAAGCAAATCAATGGGGAACTGCATGATTCATTTGTCAACTGCAGTGATTCGCTTAAGAACCACATAATTCACTTAACAACTGTAGTGATTTGCTTAGCAACCATTGTAAAAAATGTTGTAAAATCAGATGCGGTCATGTGATGCCTCGCTTAACTATTGCACCGCTTAATGACAAATTTTCCAGTCCCTAAGTTGGTTGTTAAGCAAGGACTACCTGTACAAGATGCTACTCTAAGGCATACCACAGTACAAATTGATACAGTAGAAAAACTTACAAAATGGCACTCAGAAGTATTAATATTAACAGCACATGAGTGGTAAACAACTGCTTGACTTCTTAGGTAGAGCTCATATCAAAAGGTACAGAATGTTTTGTATGATATAGAGAGCCTTGCAATTGTAAACCATTTTTAATAAATTATAAAATCATTAGTACAAAAATCTAGGTTACTACTCAGGTAAATTACAGAAGATTTTGTTAACTTGTAAGCTGTCCATGAATGATGGTATATCTTCAGAGATTTGCTTGAACAATGTTAAATTTAAGGGGATACACATTCCAGGTGCAGTTTTACTGCAAAATTTAAATAGTCATATTTTACAGTAGCCTTCAGCTAGACCTCAGAACACACTACCATTAGAAGAATAATATTTTACAGAACATGAACCTTGTCTTTTCTGCTGCTTTGGTGACTTACATGGTTGGCCTCATGCTTTCATGTCTCTGCTGGAAGGAAGGAGAGGGAGTGACAGCCTCTAAAGCTGACTGATTTACACGGGCAGCAATTTCCTGTATTGTTAGAAGGAAAACAAACAAATCTGTTTTCATTTAGTTAAATCTAAATAAAAATGAGAATACGAAGATCCTTAGTAAGCATTTCAGCAAATATAGCAGACATATAGAAGTAATTTTTTTGCTGGAAATGCGGATTTATGGAAAGCATTATAGCAGATAGATAATTTCTGTCAAGGAGCACTGCTAGGCATACAGTCTGGATCCAAAATCAATTGCTAGGAGTCTTGGGGCAATGTAACTTATTTTTTTTATATTCAACTGCCATGCAGGAGGGAGATTACAGCTAGAAGAATTGACCCTCCTCTAAGCAAGCCGCTCCACCCAAAAATTTCTCCACCCATGGTAGTAAAATTGGAACAGTTCCTTTAATGCCAATGGAGACTTTCCCAACCTGAAACATAACCAAGTAAATGGAGATTTTCATCCAAGAAGGAAAGAGAAAGAAGCGGGAAAAAGGATAAAGACAAATGAATTGGGAGGAAAAGGAAAATGATATAAGGCCATGTGTATGTCTGTGATGAAGAATGAATAAAAGAAACAAAAGAGAGAACATGTGCACAACTGCATACTTTGCATGAGATACAAACTCAGGACTGAAAAGCTAAAATAAATTAATATAATATAATATAATATAATATAATATAATGGAAAGGAAAAGGAAAAGGAAAAGGAAAAGGAAAAGGAAAAGGAAAAGCCACCTTCCACTAACCTAGCTTTTATTTCTTCTTCCCTTCTTTTACAATCACTTGATTCTCTGCAGTGCTATCCTTGCTCCATTTAAGTGTACATGCAGAATTAAAATCAATGTTTCTCTCAATCTGTACAAACAACTAATTTTAATTTCAATATTTATTTCAATTTCCCAACATGCTCTGGGGTCAAATATTTCCTCAAATTTAAATTTAAACTTCACATCTAAAAGTGTTTTGTTTTTTACATTAAAGGACTACAGTTGCATTACCTCCGGGTTTTCGCTGAGGTAAATCTGTTTGGAGATATTGTTTATTGTGCATATCCACTGGAAAAAAAAGTGTAAAATGTAATTAGGTAATTTTCTGGACACTATGTTAATGTACTTTCCATTTCTGCATTATTTTTAAGAGAGATTAAAAATATGGTAAAAGCTTTAATTTGAGCAGAAGGGCAACTTTTATCATTGCAAAATAACAAAATAGGTGCCAGATGACAACTTTTTCAGATGAGTAAATCTAGCTCTCCAACAATAAATAATTGACATGTTAACAATCTTTGCACATACAGACTAATAATAAAGGACGCAATCCTGCTGTAGAAGGCCTGACAAAACATGACCTAGTTTTATACATATGCCTAATTTTGTAGTGAGCAACATGGTCATTCTCTTAGTGCAACTTATCTCAAAGCATTTTTATGAGAAAAATAATAGAAGAGTGTGCTAATAACACACCTTAAGAAAAAGCAGGATATAAATCTAAGAACAGAGCCAATGTTATGTTATGACCTTCTAAAATCTGTGCCCTTTGGACTTGTTAAACCCTAGCATGACTATCAATTCCCATAAAGAGACTGGAGGTCATGAGGTTTGGGGAAAGCTGAGCTAGGTGATGGTCTAGAAACTGCAAGTTGGTGAATTCGCAAAAAAGTTAACAATAAGCTACACATAAGACATTTACAAGTAGCTTTCAAACTACAGAGCAGGACAGAGGAAACTTGTGACTCTCTAAATGATGCTAAATTCCCATTTGTTTCGCAATTAGTCATGCTTGCTGGGCCTGCTGCAAGCTGTGGTTCCACAACTTTTGGAGCCTACAGATTCTCCAACACTGCCACAGAAACAAAAGAGAAATTCATATAGTTTTTTAAAACTTTCATATTTAAATAATGATTCCATACAACTTTCTAGCTGAATTTTTCCTCCTGATTTTTTTTAATGATGCCAATAACAGAAGTGGGAAACGACAGGCTTTTAAATGTGAAATGATCAACAGAAAGTGCAGCTGCAGTACTAAACCAGCAGTGTAGCACCTATGAAATTGTTTCCCCTGCACTGATTATTTAGCACAACTACTGAGCAAAGCAGGTTTCAAACCCTATTTTAAACTGCTTTGCCACAGGCTAAGGACAAGGTGAGAACTTTCCACTCTGCCTTTCTTTTGGCTTGCAAGCCGGCAGTTTTCCAATGTGGAAGATTCTCAAATTCATGATAAAGCTGATGGCCTGAACTGAAATCTACCATCTAATGCTCCTCCACAAAGACAGTACAGGTTTTAGCAGTATGTATCACAAATTACAATCTGTGATCTGATTTTTTAAAAAATGAATAAAAAACCCACCCCTCTTGTGAATGCAGGCCTTTAGGCTACAAACCATACAATGCTTTGGCAGTCTTCACCTTTTCCATGCCATCAGCATATATTTATTCTGCTCTTAAAAACCGTCCTCATAATTAGTACCACAAATTTAATTTGGATAACCTGTTTACAAGCATCATATTTTGTTAAACTTTCCAATATGGCAACTGCCTTATTTTATTGCAGAATAAAATAATGGAATCTGGTGGCACCTTAAAAAAAGTAATCTATTCACTGTAACAAAGGCTTTCTTGGATTAGACAGATTGGTCAGACATGCGCAATTTTAGTCTTTAAAGCATCACAAGACATTTACTAGTTTTAACAACCATTCTGTTAAAAAGCTTACTTCTTCATAATCTTTTTTGCTCTCAGCTTGCAAAATTGAAGACCTGTTGGACCAAGAAATAAAAATAAAAAACAGACAATTATATTTCTTAAACAAGCAGGAGAAAGGAATTTTGATTAACTTGTTGGTTTCCATTTATCAATATGTACAATTCTGAATAGAAAAACTCTGATGGACATTGCCCACCTATACTATTTATCTTGGCATTGTAGAACTTAACATATTCCATCTGAGCTAAGTTCTTTGAGCTAAGTTCTAGGGACAACTATCCATTGATACACCTTAGCAGAGAGTAAAACGTTTATGTTGCCTGGGCTTGCTTTGTGCTGACCTCTCTCAGTAAAAACCAGTAAGGTTGCACAGAATGAGGAAGGAAGGCATCCCTGTTACATTTTAGGCTGAGGGAAAAACAGGCAATCATGAAAGAAAAAGCTGGCAGACAACTTTTTCCTCTAAACCAAAAACAAGGATGGGATGTACCCGTAATCTTTTAGAAAGAAAACAAGCATAAAATTGACAACATTCTATGAGGAAATCTAAATAGATATTTAGATTCCACCTACAGAGCAGCATCAAATCCTGATTAAATAAGTTGATTTAAAGTAACAGAAACCTGTCTTATATCTGCCATTTTTTCCAACCTAGGAAAGACAAGGATTTATCCCTCCTTCTTTTCTCCCACCTTTCAAGAAAAAGTCTTTATGGCAGCAAGAAATACTTTTCCATTGTTTCTCCAATACTAAATCAATATGTAGGAAACAGTAAGAATACAAACTTTTTGCCATCAAAAGATGTTATTTGAAAGCAGTATCTTCTGTCTTCGCAATCCACAGCCATTACCGAACTATTGTCTATATCCATGACAAGTCCTCCAGCTACTTCACCTCTTCCCTGGCTCATTAGGTTTCCACCCTGTGTGAAGTAAAACTGTCTGTCCCAACTGGAAGATACCAGTCCTGTTTTACTGAAGTAAGAAAGAAAACTGACTTAGTCCAACCTGGCAGTAGCAAATCTCTAATGAAAAAAATCAGGTATTATAAGCTTTGGACTGGAGATAGCTTAATACAATTTAATGCAGTTATGCATAGATTATTTTGGTACAGCAAGAAATACCAAAAGAGTATGAATGGTGCTTAACAGCAACCTAAATTTCCCAGTGTACTGCTTATCAGCAATATGCTTACCTAACTTTAAAATATATTATATATATATATATATATATATAATATATT